TGCCTTTCTATGTTTTGTAGATAAACACTTTGGTGCCTTAGCAGTTGAAACTAACACTCAGACGTCTCCGAACATCCGCTTGGCTAGATTGCCACCCACAACAAGTCCTACTTTGCCGCGGCCCAGGGTACCTGGAACGTGCTACAGGACGTGAGCGCTGTCCTGGACGACAACCTCCTCGGTACGATCCTACCATGCCATGCCCTGCTCGGGTGTAACGGAAGCGTGTGTCGTGTGCTGGCTTCTAAATTGGGTGTTTGTTTTGAAGGCGCGCTCCTGCCGCTGTCGGTGACGACGGTGGGGATGTTGTCACTCATCCCGGGCCTCATCGTGACGGGCGTGATGGAGGACGACTACTACCTGCTCGCCGGCTTTCTCTCCTACTCGGTTCGTTCCCTCCCACCCCTGACCGCACGGGGCGTGTGTGCGTTTTGGTGTGCGTTTGCGTGTGCGGTCGCGTGTGGTGACCTGACCCTCTCTCTTGGTGATGTGCAGAGCGGGTGTGCGGTGATGGCGCAGGTGCTGCAGGTGATCGACAGCGCCGCGGTGACGCTCATCCTCTGCTTCGCCGAGAAGCCCGAGATCCTGGAGGCCAAGTACCCGCTCCTCTACGCCCGCTTCCGATCCCTCTGCGACCCGCCGCCGCCACCAGACCACCCCGACAACACGCACCAACCGCTCGAGCCGTAAATAAAGAGAAATTGAAATTAATATTGAAAACGCAAAAATTATTTGTGCAAAAGATAAATAAATGTTTGTGGTTCGCTCAGAGCTGGTCGCGGTCTCCGCGCTCACTTTCGTCCAGGTCCCAGTCGACGGCATTGCTGTTGGCCGCGCCGGCCCACCGGCTCCGGCGTCGCCAGGCCAACACGACGCCGGCGACGACGGCGGCCAGCACCACGACGACGGCCACCGGGATGGCCACCGCCACGCCCACGATCAGGCCCACGTCGGTCGACGACGACGACCCGTCCGACGACCCGCCCAGCAGCACGCCCAGGCCCAGGCTCGGATCATACACCACCGACTTTTCGAACGGCGGGAAGCCCAGCTCCAGGAAGTAGCCCGACTGATTGTTGGTGGCGGTGAGATTGTCGAACACGAGCTCGATGCGGCCGAGCGTCGTCACGTCGCCGTCGATGACCGCCGCGTTGAGCACCTCCAGCTGGGCCACCACGCCGTCGTCCGAGAGAGTGACGAAGAAGGTGGTCATGCCCGCGTGCGGCGTGTTGCGCCGCCGGGTGATGCGGCTCGGACCCGACAACGATGATGACGACGACGACGACGCCGAGGCGAGGTCGGAGAGGCGGTAGCGGAGCGAGAAGCCGTTCTTCTGGGCGTCGGCCACGCTCGCGGTTGCGCTGGGCGACGAGGCGGTGGTGAGGCTGAACGACCACTTGACGCTGCCCCCGCGCACGGTGAAGTCCACGCCGGCGAACGACACCGCGCGGTCGCTCGCGTAGTAGGTGTACGACTGCACGAGGCTCGTCTCGGCGTCGATGTGGGCCGTGTAGGCAAAGGTCGACGTCGTGGCGTTGCCATTGCTGGGGTCGGTCGTGTTGGTGACGGTGCGGGTCACGTTCAGCCCGTGTAGGTCGGTGAAGCCCAGCTGGAGGCCGCTCAGGCTCAGCTGCACGCCCACCACAGAAGAGGCGTTGGTGGCGTCGGAGGAGCTGGAGATGGCGACCGCCGATGAGCTGTCATCGAACGAGGCCGTCGTGTTGGCGGTCAGGGGCGCCACCGATGCAACGGGCGACGGAGACGACGATATCGCGCAGTCGTCTGTTGTGTTGTTTGTGTGAGTGCCGTGTGTGTCGTGTTGTGTCGTGTGTCATGTGTCATGTGTGGCGAAAGTACTCTCTCGGCCTGTGCTCTGGGCGGAGAAGATCTTGACCAGCGTGGGGGAGCCCACCTGCGCGCAACACGACGCTGACGAGGCGCACATAACGCCTGCCACACGAAAATCACATCATGAAAGTTTTAGAAAGAATTAAAAAACGTCCAATCAACAAGGCTACAGGGAAGTGGTGCCTATCGCCGTGGCCGATGTGGTCTTGACCGTGGTCGTGGCGAACTGCCTCCAAGATCCGCCATTTGCGAACTCGATTCCTGTTGGTCAATAGGTTAATGAGTTGATCAATTAAGTGGAAACGCGTTTGGCCTACAAAAAGCAGGTTTGTTGCTCGTACCAGTAGCGCCGCTGCCCGCCGTAATGTTGAAATTCCTCTGTTGCGACAACTTGGCCGTCGCCCCTACAAACCGAATCCCTGATCGTTGTCGTTGTCGTGTTACAGAGTCAGTAATGATGTTGCGTTGCAACTACAACCACGTGCAACACCACCAACAACAACCATGCAAAGAGGAGTGCTCACCTGTGCTCGCCGCCAAATTAAAGGTTGACAACGCAGTGGTTGTCCACACGCCGGTGGAATTCAGGACCACGCCTGCGCGCACATATGTATCCATTGATGTGTTGTTTTAGTGCTGATTGAGGGCGAGAGAAAGAAAGAAAGAAAGAAAGAAAGAGAACCGCGTACCCGTGCTCTGATCGCTGGCCTGAACGGTCAGTAGGCCGTACTGGCCCCATGAGCTGTCAGCGCCCAAGTTCACTCCTGTGGGCGTGACAAGGTCATCGCGATCAGCACCGCGTGACGCGTGTCGCGTGTGCAGAAAATGGTAAGGCCTTGGCTTGGGAGGGGGAGGGTACCGCTGCTCGCGCTGCCAGACACGGTGAGGTGGGAGTGCGGGATGCGAGGTCCGTCCTGCATGTGGAGCCACATGCCGCCGGCCGACATATCCACAGCTGCAGAGGAGCGAGAATGGCCACACATAAGACATACACTCCTTTTAATATGAACATGGATGTATCCCAACCTGCAATCTGATTCGGCGACGATGACGTCACGCTGATGTTGTTAATCCCACGCTGAAACCACCGGCTCGAGAAAGAGCCGGGACCGAACCTGACTCCTGCAGACACGAGCAGGAAGACCGAGAACGATGAATTTAACGTGCTGTGGGCGAAAAGAGAGAGGGAGGGAGGGAGGGAGAGAGAGAGAGCGCGCGCGCTGTACCCGAGACCCCATGCGTCGCAACGAGCGTCGTGTTGCCGTATTGCTGCCAAACGCCGCCCGCCAAGTCCACCAGTGCCTCTGTGCCGGGAAAATAGAAAGGAAACAAAGCGTCGTCAAAGATTGGTGCAGGAACAAGACGAGTTGTTCGGCCAGGTGAACGGTACCTGTCACCGCGGTGTTGCTGATCAGCACATTACCGCTCTGCACCCAGACAGCATCTGCAAGTATCGCGATTGCTGTACATTGTTTGGCAACACACAGGCACAGGAGACCAGTTGGGTGAGACAATGAGGGCGGCAGGGGTTTGAAAAATACAATGAGCGACGAACCGCTTGGGCCTTGCACGCTGTCGAAGACCACGTCCGAGGACTGGTTGAGTTGCCCATCCGCGTCCACCACAAGCCTCGCTGTTGTTTTGAACACAACGGAACAGAATTAAAAGTGCAATAATACAGAGCGGGGGGATATTGTTGGTCCTAGGACACCCGGGGTGGGAGAGATCGAGTGGTGTGCAGCTCGTGTGTGTTGTGCGGTGCGTACCACCTTGGAGCACAAGCTTGCCCAGCTCCAGGACGAGCGTTGAGGAGTTGGCGACGGTCAGCCACTCGCCCGAATGCACCACCGTCACCGTGTCCGCATCGGTGGACCCAAGCCTGGTTTTTAGGGGGGGGGGGCGAAGAAATTAATATATCCTGGCCAGTTATATAACGCTATTCGGGACCATGAGCATTTCCGGCAGGAGCTCCGTAAATCTAACTCCGCCCGTGCACGGGCGTGGGTGGATAAACAAAGATGAAGACGAAGAAAAACAGAGGAAGAAGAAGGGTTGGGGCACCGGAGCGTGATGGTGTGGTTGAGTTGGGTCGGGACCTCTTGATCATAGACGCCCGGCGCAACGTCGACCACCTCGCCATCGGCTGTCGTGAGGGCAATGCCGCCAGCTATGGTGGTCGAGTCGCACGAGCCGGACAAACACACCGTGCCTGCACAGATGTAAAACGTTGATGTTGATGCCACCCGCACAAGAAAATTTTAATAAGTGCATTGTTGTTTGTTATCATGTTATCTCCTACGTTGTGTGTGTTTCGTACAATTTACTGCGTCGGAGCCACAGGCACCAAGACCCAGAACCAGCAAGAGAGCAGCCACCACGCACAACGGAACCGTGGCCATGATCTTGTGCTTTCGCGGGCGTCGGAAAATACTTCGCCGCGAAGGGGAGAAGAGAAGTCGGTCCACTCTGCAGAGCTCCCCAAAACTCTTCGGGGTATGCTCCTTGCGTCACCATTTTTCGGAGTTATATTTGACCAATCACAGATGCAACAGTGTTTTCACCGTTTTCTGCAGGTAGAGGATAGGAGGTAATTCCGCTGAATTTTGTCTTTCTTCTTGGCGTGCCATTCGCGGGAACACATAATTCTATGTTGTATTTATTAACATTTTAGCGTGGCACTAGGTGGGAGGGAAGAGATGGGAGGTGAGGGGCGACGGAGCAGAGGAGAACGCGAAAGCAGAGTACTCCGTTTGGGTGGTGAGGTGGTCTTCGTCGTCCGGCAGAAGAAAGTCGTGCCAGGACTCACCAAAGGCGGCCACATCAGCCGGCGGGACGTGGTGGCCACCAGTGGTGGAGGTGGTGTGGGCCTCGAGCTCCGGCGACTGAAGCGCGGCGCGCAGGGCCAGTTGCTGGTGGTCGACGGGCATCAGCGGTGGCGGCAGCGGCGGTGGTGGCGGCCGCAGGGCTCGCCCTGAGGGCGTTTGGCCGGCTGCTGCTTGTGCCGGCCTGTCGTGGAGGCGCACATCTTGCCACTCGGCCCTCTCTTTTCGTTGCGCCTCTGTGTGCGCGCGATCATCGCGCATTTGTTACTCTTGCGTCGTGTGTCGTGTTGTCGTGTGTGTGACAGAACGGTTAAACAGCTTCGCGCACCTTCAATAGAGTACGGAAGGTTTTCCACGCCCAGCACTTGATCGACGCAGATCACAGTGTAGGCCAGCTGCGGGGCGCGCTGATGCGAGCAACAAGTTACTAGTGAACGCGCCACGAACCACTCACGAGGTGGCCTTGTCGTGTGTCGTGTGTCGTGTGGAACCTTCTCGTCGGCGCTGAAGAAAAATTGACTTCGTGCCACGATTGTGGCGAGGTTGCCTCCCTTGTACTCCAACTGGTGGCAGCACGGAACGATCTCACTGAGCCCCGCCCGCGACCTGTCACACGCGGCCCCGCGCCGATCGTGGCTCGTCCGTCAGCTCCTCTCTTTCTCTTTCTCTTCCTCTTTCTCTTTCTCTCTCCCGTGGCCGGCCACAATGCGCGTACCCGTTGAGCCACGCATCGAGGAATCTGTTCTTGTCGTGCCGCGACACGACCCACACCAACTCCCGACCGAGCAGCTCGGCCTGTCACGCACACACGGCACACGCAACACACAGTCACGCACACACGGCACACACGGCACATGAGCAACAGTTGGTCTTCGTTGCGCTGGTATTGGTTGCGCGTACCATGGAGAAGCCGGAAACGCGGCAGAACTGATGGTTCGCGAATACGGCGCTGCTGAAGCCACGGCTGGTCGGGCCTTGCGGGTGCACCTTCAACACCACAACCGCCTTTCTGCACGCGGGTCATATATATATATTTTATTATATAACATCGTACTAAATGAAACGAAAACGAAAACGAAACTTGAAAATAAAACGACGTACTGGAGGTCGTCGACAACGAAGCGTCGTGAGGAGAAGTCGAAGTGTCGGAGGAAGGGGAAGCACCAGAGCATCTCTCGGCCCAGGCCAGTCTCCACTTCCGCGGGCGCGCCGGCGTAGCGAGCGCCAGCGCCATCACCACCCACCACCCGCATGCCCTGGAACGAGTCGCCCATCGCCCACGACCCTGGTGGAGACGATGATGGCGATGATGATGCTGATGACGATGAAGTGTCCGCGGAGGTGAAGGTGGTCGCAGCCAGAGCGGTGGTGGTGGCCGCAGGGCTGGCGCAGATGCCGTAGCGCGACGCGGCGATGTGGGCCAGCTGGTTGCGGAGCTGGGAGTTGTCTTCTTCGAGCTGCGCCACGCGCCGCTGCAGCTGGCGCAGCACCTGGTGGGTCGATTGGCCGTCTTGCTCATGATGGTGATGATCACTACGATGATGACGATGGTGGTGTTCCTTGCACTGCTTCGCATTCTTGCGCATCTTCTTCTGCATGCGGCACATCTGGTCGGCCATGGCGCGCATGTCCTCCTTCAGCCCCACGATCGTGTCGACCAAAAACGTCGTCGTCCTGCCGCCCAGGCCGGCCGCGCCATCTTCCGCGGAAATCGTTGCATCGGCGCCAAGAGGCGTTGCATCAGCGCCGAGTCGCCGCTTGGCCCCTTTCTGCGCCGGTGCAGGCGACTGCGGCTGCAGTTGTGGCTGTGGCTGTGGTGGATAGGCGGCCGGCAATCCAGAGGCGATGGAGGCTGCGGGAGGAGCGTCGTTGGGGACCTGTTGCGGCAGGATCTTCACCGGTGTCTCTCCTGCCCACAAGCCATGAGTGAGGCGTGGCCCTCCAGCTCGCACAATAAAAAAAATGAAATAAACAGAATAAAAATAAAAATAAAGGGATACCTGCGGCAGACGAAGCCTGAGAAGCCTGGCGAGAGGGGCGTCCGCGCTTGCAGGGCGGCGGCAAGAAGCAGCGGTGGGCCAGGTTCAACCGCACGCATCGCTCGCACGGCAGTTTCCTGTGCACCCCCCACCCATAACCCTCTTCAGCAGGAGGGGGAGAGGAAGAGAAGGGTTTTTTCTACCTGTCACAGGCGGTTCGTGCCAGGCGGCATAACGCACAGCTCATGCCCTCTTCACTCATCGATGGATGCAAGATGAAGGCAGTGCTTCTACGTCTGCGTACTTCTCCTTCTTGCAAACTCCGAACTGACAACCACTGCGTCAAAGAAAAAGAAAAATTGCAAACACAGGTGAAATGAGCTTGGTGTGGTGTTACACCTTTGTCTGGGTGACGATGCCAACATCACGCCAAAGAACATGTCCAAAAAATGTTGTTCAGCAGGACGTAAGTTTCGTTGACATTTCTTGTGCGAATTTAGTGTTGAGGGAAACCACGCGTGCTGTGCGGTAGAGCCCAGGAGCAACCTCACGTACTTCCGACCAACACTGCGCCAATCCTCTCTTCTTTGGCTGCCCATCTTCCCTCTGCTCTCGCCCTCGCGAGGCAGCCGAGATCCTCTGCCTTCAGCGCTCGCAATCTGTGGGCATCATCAGCTCGACCGAATTCACCCCAATTTCATTCATTCATTCATTTTCTGAATCATAATCGCTGCGCAGCGGCCGCTGGGGCGAGTTGATTGGATGGATCCACAGGCGGCAGCATCTCATCCACCGCGGCCCACGCCGCAGCAAGCATCTGGGCGGCTCCTCCACCACCTGGATGCTGCTCACTCCGCGATGCGCGTAGAGAGGATGATCAACGACGAGGGCACCACGGTCGAGGTGGCCTCAACGGGGTCGGGCGAGCATGCGGCGCAGCAGGACCAGACCCAGCGCTCGTTTGCCACCACCGCGACCACCTCCGCGGCCGTGAGTCCGCAGCAGGTTCACAACGTCGCGCCCGCCATCAACACGACCGCGGCACCGCCCGCTGCTGCCGCCGCGCCGCCGCGGCAGGAGGTCGAGCTGACCGATGCCGGCACCCGTCTCAAGCTGCAGGGCAAGCTCGACGAAGGTACGCCACGGCCCAACGAATTTATTATTAAATCAATTTTCTCATTTAATAAATAATAAATAGTGTTTTATTATATAAACAAATTGCTGTACCTTTTGCTGGTGGCCACTGACGTGGCGTGTGCTACTGCGACGCATCGGGGTTTGAAGGAATGTCCAAATACCTGGCGGCCATCCGGGTCAACCCATCGTACGCTCCGGCCTACTACAACATCGCCGTCATCTACTCCGAGCTCAACCGCTACGAGGAGGTGCCGCCCCTCCCACTCATGTGCCTGCGTTTGAAAAAACACACACACCACACACACACACACACAAACACCACTGGCGTAACAACTGATTGGGGTCCAACGCCACCACAACCAACCGCACGTGCAGGCGCTGCAATACTACAACGCAGCCATCCAGCACAACAAGTTCTACGTGGAGGCCTATTGCAACGTGGGGGTGATCTACAAGAACGTGGGCCAGCTCGAGGCCGCCATCACCTTCTACGACAAGGTGCGTGCCTCAATGTCAAACCCACAGCTTTGGTGGGTGGGCGTTTTTTAACTCCGAATTCACGTATGGTGAACTCGTCCAGGCGCTCAGCATCAACCCCAACTTTGCAATTGCCAAGAGCAACATGGCGATCGCCCTGACCGACTACGGCACCTTCATCAAAAACCAGGGCAAGCGAGTGGTAAGCAATTACTATTTTTTATTATTTTTTTAAAACAAATCTATTTCTATCTATCTATTTCTCTATCTAACAGATTATTATGATAATGGCTTATAATATTCTTATCTTGGATTATGACGATTCATTTGGATATTTAGCTCCGAAGTTGGTAAGCTCAGTTAAGGCTTACGTAATGGCGGTTGGCGATCGTGCAGGAAGCAGTCCAGTACTACCAGAAGGCGCTCACCTACAACGTACAGTATGCCGACGCCTACTATAACCTCGGCGTGGCCTATGGCGAGATGGGCTCCTACGATAAAGGTGCTTACTTTTTCGTTCTTCTTCTTTCTTCGTTCTTTTTCGATGCTGATGGTTGCGCTGCAAACATGGTACCCGTTACCTTACCGACATCCAGCGGTCATCTGCTATGAGCTGGCGATCCACTTCAACCCGTTCTGCTGCGAGGCCTTCAACAACCTGGGCGTCATCTACAAGGACCGGGACAACCTCGAGAAGGCCATCGAGTGCTACCGATCCGCCTTGGGCATCAACCCGACCTTCTCCCAAACGCTGAACAACCTCGGCGTGGTATACACTGTACAGGGCAAGGTACACACGCAACACGCGCAACACGCCCCACCGCACACGACCAACGACAAGGCGTGGTCTCATTCAAATATTTTTCTTTATTTATTGAAAACTGAATAATCGACAGCTGGACGAAGCCTACGCGATCGTCAAGTCCGCCATCGATGTCAATCCGCAATACGCGGAGGCCTACAACAACCTGGGCGTGCTCTACCGGGACGAGGGCGAGATCAAGAAGGCCATCGCCTGCTACGATAAGTGCCTCGCCCTCAACACCCTCTCGCGCAACGCCTCCCAGAATCGCCTCCTCGCCATGAACTGTACCCAGAGCCCCCCCTCTCGCGCTCACCGCCGGCACCGGCTGATCGTGTTCTCTCTTTCTCTCGCTTTCTTCCCCCCCCCCGCGCGTGTTGTCCGCCATTCGTTCAGACCTGCCCGACGCCGACATTCAGACGATCTTCCAGGCACACAAGGAATGGGGCGAAGAGCGATGCAAGCACGTCGCCATCAGGTTGTTCCCCACTTCCAAATTTATTCGCTATCTAAACATACATTTCCGTATGTCCTATCTAATCTATCTAATCTATCCTGACGATCGGCTGGGGTTCTTCTTTTGTCGTGGCACCGAAAGGTATCGCAACGACCACCAACACAACCGGCTGATCAAGGTGGGCTACGTGTCGCCGGACTTCTTCACCCACAGTGTCTCCTACTTCATCGAGGGCATCCTCAGCCAGCACGACCGGTCTAAGTTCGTTGTCTATTGGTAACCCCTCCCACCCTCTGCCAGTACCCTGTGCGAGTGAGTCGTTATTCTAAACGACACGCACACGCCGCACACACACACACACGCACATTACACTCGGCACACTCATGCAGCTACTCGAACGTGGTCAAGGAAGACGCCAAGACGCAACGACTCAAGCAGCTGGCCCAGGTGTGGCGCGGCATCTACGGCAAGACCGCCGAAGAGGTTTGACCACCATCTCTTCTATTTCTAGCAAAAAGACTATTAATTTCTTGCCTTTGTCCCAAACCAAACATCAGGCTGCGGACATGATCATGGCCGACGAGATCGACATTCTCGTCGACCTGACCGGCCACACTGCTGGCAACCGCCTCGACGTCATGGCCCTCAAGCCCGCCCCCGTGCAGGTGCTCACTTCCCCGCCTGGCTCTCCATTCTGCTGTTCCCCCCCCCTCACATTTGCTGACCATGCATCGACACGACACGACCAACGACACTTCAGGTGACATACATCGGGTACCCGAACACCACGGGGCTGCCGACCATCGACTACCGGTTCGCCGACGCCGTGACGGACCCGCTCGACTCGCAGCAGCGGTACGTCGAGGAGCTCGTGCGGCTCCCCCACTGCTTCCTGTGCTACACTCCGTCCCCCGACGCCGGCCCGGTACTCCAGCTCCCTTTCTCCTTTCCTTTGACACGTAACACACGCGACGTGCACGACACGACACGACACGACACACAGCGGAACTGACGATGCATTATTTGCATTTCTCGTGTGAATTTAAGGTGGCGCCTGCGCCCTGCACCAAGAACGGCTACATCACCTTCGGTTCCTTCAACAATCTGGCCAAGGTTCACCCTTCCCCGGTGCTTCTGTTGTGCGGCGCACTGTTACATTCATTCCTCTGCATATCTTCTGACACCACGGGCAACGACTCGCTGCGCTGCAGATCAACAAACATGTGATTAAGCTTTGGGCGCAAGTTTTGCTTCGAGTTCCTAAGTCGGTTCGTCCCCCCCTTTCAAGGGTATTGCACGGTGCGGGTGGCTCGTGTGGGCTGACTCTCCGAGTGGTGTGGTGTGGTGTGGTGGTTGGGCTACCAACCACAGAGGATGGTGATCAAGTGCAAGCCGTTCGCGTGCGACACGATCCGCAACAATTTTCTCCGGCGGCTGCAGGACGAAGGGATCGAGCCCGCCAGAGTGGACCTGCTCGCGCTTATTCCGCTGAACCACGACCACCTCCAGGCCTACAGCTACATGGACATCTCCCTCGACACCTTCCCCTACGCCGGTATGACCACTTCGTGCCCCCCCCCCTTCATTCTTCGTTCTTTTCTTCGTTCTTCGTTCTTTTATTCGTTCTTTCCTTCGTGTTGACGTTCACCGGCGGGCTCAGGGACCACGACGACGTGCGAGGCGCTGTGGATGGGTGTGCCCGTGATCACGCTCACCGGCGACAATCACGCCCACAACGTGGGCGCCACAATTCTCCAGCAAGTGGGGCACGAAGAGCTCATCGCCCGCACCAAGGAGTCCTACGTCCAGGCCGCCCTGCGCCTCGCCTCCGACGTCCAACGACTGCACGCCATCCGCAGGTATCGCATCGCCATCGTCAGCATGTATGGGTCACGTTCACGATCGTGTATCGTGTTGTGTGTCGTTCCGTGTGTGTTGCACAGCTCGCTGCGAGAGAAGATGCAGAGTTCTTATTTATGCAACCCACGCGAGTTCACCCGCAACCTGGAGGACACCTACAGCCGGCTCTGGCGCAAGCACTGCCTCCAGCACGTCGGTACCACCATCTTTGTCTTACCCCTCCCCCCCACCTTCACGGTGGACCTCTGGATAGGCGGCCGCGCGGCACTGCTGAACTCACTCGCCGCCCGCCGCCTGCAGAGCTGTCCGCTGTCGACAACCAGGGCCAGCCGGCACCGAGCAGCGAGCCGAACACGACCACAGGGCCGGCCAAGAAAGTCAAGATCACCACGGGTACCCCCTCCTTGCCACACTCTTAAGAGGTTTGGTTGTGGCTGTTGGTTCGTCAGCTTACGCCAGGCTCTTTCCTGGTTCCCCTCTCTATAGAAGGCACCGAACTAGACGGCGGCGGCGGCGCTGCGGCTGCAGAAAACGGAAGCCACCGCGGCCCCGCTTATGTTCACCCTGCCCGCTCTCCGTTCTGAGCGCCCCAACCAAAAAGAAAAAACACAAAAAAAACAACAAAAAAACGTCTTTTTCCATTTCCTGGAAATTTGGAAAGAAAGGCAAAGAAACACATAATTAGCATAATATTATTATATATTTTGTGTACGGCGAGAGATGGGACGAGGAGGCAAAGGGGGCAGAGGTGGCGGAGGGGGACAGGGAAAGAAGGGAGGGGGAGGAGCCGGGGCTGGACGAGGCGGAGGTGGAAGCGCTACGCGAAAGTGCCGGGGGTGCGGCAGGCCCCTGCGCGAATGCAATTCGCATCCATGCGCCACCAAAATCCTGTCCCGACACACCCCCACCATGCATGGACCCCTTTACTTTGACCCCCCGCCTGGGTAACAATCCTCTCGCCATCATGTGCTTATTACTCCATTGTTGTCGCCCCACGTCATCAAGACATGGTGCACTACTAAGCTCTGGATCCTTGGGAACACTCGTCCACAACCAGGTGGGTGAGCGAGCAGCAATATCTACCGGACCCTTATCATGGCGGGCACCACCACCATCAGCAGCTGCACCACCACCACCAGGTCACCACGGAAGAAGTCGAGCTGCCGACCAACCGCTTTGCCGCCCTCCTTCTCGAGTACGTTCTTCTCTCGGTCGCCCAACATGTGAAAAAGCTAATGTGTGGTGTGTGTGCGGTGTGTGCGGTGTGTGCGGTGTGTGCGGTGTGTGCGTGTGTGTGTGCGCGCGATCGTGCGGTGTGGGCGGTGTAGCGAGGGCAACGGAGACCATTCAGAGGGTGGCGGGGAGGAGGGCCAGGGTCGCCCGCGGCGCCTGACGGCCGACTTCCAGAAGTTCGAGCAGCACAACCGCCTGCGGATGGACGACGCCATCCGGCGCGGCCTCCTCTTCGGCAAAGTGCACACGGCCGAGGTGCGCGACCACTCCCCCGCGGGCTTCATCGTCGACGTCGAAGTCGCCGACGCCGACGCCGCCTTCTCTTCCACCTCATCGTCTACCACCACCGCCTCGTCGTCGAGCGACGACACCGACGAGGCCGAGAGCGACGGAGCCGCCGCCGCCTCGTCTCATGGTAACGCCCGCGTCTGTTCTCTCGATCGGTGCGCGGAGGCCGTGGTGTGCTGATCTTTTTTTATTTTTTTATTTCTTTTTTTTGTTTCATTTCAATCAACTTTGGTCGGTGGCCACGTTGCAGCGATCAAGATTCGGGGCGTGGTGAAGTGGCACAAGCCCACCATCGCGTGCTGGCCGTCTGTCGAGGAGAGGGTGCGAGGTACGTCGCGTTTTTAAAACACTCCCGCACGCTCGCTCTTTCTGCGATTCCACACGCCTCTAGCAGGCGACTGACCGCACCCGACGCTATACACACACACACACACACACCACACACACGCATTCCAGTCGCCGCAAAGCGGGTGCCTGTCGGGTCACGATTTGGAGTCTACTCAGGCGGCATCTGCGACTACTCGGGTATGCCCCAACGTTTGTTTTATTTTTATTTTTAATGAAAACGCCCGTATATATTGTTATTCACACGCCAACACACACACACACACACCACGACACACT